GCTTGGAGCTTCAAGATATTCATTTTCGGTAAAAACCACAGCTGCCTAAGAAAATATGTGCAAGAGTGCTCAGGGTTCAATTCACCTGTTACCGATTGTGGCACTAGTGTGTCCATCCATAGACTCACTATAATCATTGACATTAGAATATATATATATAGAAAATATTATATTATAAATAAGCCTACAATTTTTAAAAATTATATTAAAATCATATTTACTTATCATACTATAGTTAATCGAGATGTGCGCAGCCAAAAAAATTGAAGCATTTCCATGATGCTTCCGAATTCATCCGGCTGACCTGCCTTGCCAGACGGGGCCATGCATGCAGTGCCGTCGGTCCTTTACGGGCCTCGTCTGGCGGCTAACCAATGTTAGGGAAATACTCCACGTGTTTGCGCCGGTGCTGCCATTAAGCACCTGGGTAACGGAGGAGTGGGGCGTTTTGCACAATGGAAGTCGCAAGCGTGGAAGCACTGTCATAACGTCGGATAGGTTGTGCGGTGTTATTATATGTCAGGCATTATGACGGCTTTTGTCCCCACACGTGGTGTTGTTTCCGGTGACTGCAGTGATATTGGACATCTATCGGCTGACGAACCGTGCAGAGGACAATAGCAATGGCGACTCGCTGGCTTATTCAAGGTTTCGCCCCAGAAATGAAGGAAACAATGCCAAATACGATATCAACAATCGACAAAGTGGGGTACACAAGAGTTCGTCCGGTGGAGGTCCGAATCCATACCAAGGGGCACTGTGGGATTGGACGTAATCAGAGAGCACAGAGGTCCTCGTGCCCAGGGACCTCCAAGACCTGCAAGGGGGAGCAAAGCGTCCTGACCCCTTGGCGGTACCCCGTCCAATGACTGATTGACGCCGCCGACATCCGCAGAACTACAACACGTCCCGGTGCCACTCGTTCCGCGGCGCGCGGCACGTGGAGAGGGCGCTGGACGGGAAGCCGATCTTCTGCGGCGAAATCGCCCGCGCCAGCGGCGGCATTCTCGGCGGCACGGAGGCGTTGGAGACGTGAGTCTTACCCCGGGGTCTCGCGCGAGGGGGGGGGGGGAGGCTCCACGACGCGCGGACAGGTCGTGCTGGGTGGAGGGCCAGCTGCCGAGCGTGGGTGGGGCGACCTCGCTGGAGACCCGCGACCGTTTTCGTGAATTACGGGGAGCCACTGCCCGGCGAGTACCGCAGGGAATTGGCGAGATGGCGGGGCAGGGTGTGGAGCAGGAGGCTCGGTCTAACGATCCGTGAGCGTGTCATTCATCTGGTCGGAAGAGCTGTGTCCACACGCGATGCCGGCGCGGACCGTCCTGACACATGTGCCGCTGTGACATTCACGTGTGCCACGTGCGACGTCGAGGCCGGACTGCTGTGCTGTATGTGCCACGTCGGCACTGCTGACATGGTCCGCATGTGACCTCTGGACAGACAGGCCGTGTGACACGTGTCGACGGAGCGGACCACTTTACCACGTATTACCTCCAGGCAGACCACTGTGCAATTGCATGCATGTCCTCGTCTTAACGGCTTAGCTACCTTTAGGCCTGTTGATGATATGCATTAGCATAAGCGTTAGCGCAATGCGGACCGTTCAGACCTATTGGGGACGCAAAGTTGGTCAAGACAGTACGAGCCAATTCCACGGACAAATGTAGCTCCATCTTTGCTCGACCTCCCGCATGCACGGAAAACCGCAGACATGGGACCGTCAGAGGTTGGGTTGTCGGCTAAAGTCAAACCAGGTCGTCGAAAATCCATACAGGCTGTTATCAAGGATTTTCTGTCTACAGAACATGCAACAAGCGGTGCTTGCGTGATATGTTTATGATGATATATCGTCCTACATTGCTGAACGCAAACTTGCAGCTGTGATAATAATTGTACGCGTAAATTCGCGTAGCGCTTTTACAGACAATGAATGCAAACGGCTGTCCCATGCCATGAATTTTACAATATATTTTCAATCGAAGTGGCTAATCGAAGTCAACTAAGTGGCAAAGACCCGAAGGGGTGTTCCACATTTGTATGGGATTTTGAACCGAAATAGCAATTTCGGAGATCATTTGGTGCAGTGTACAGCCCTGTCCCTCTTGAGACTTGAACCCTTCTAGATACTGAGCTACACGCCTGCAAACATATGTAACTTTTTCGGAGAAACCATCTCAATGTCACCCAGACATCCATGGCCAATTAATAGCGTTGTTTAAATCCTGCCATTCCATTAGAAGTGCGGCGATCAAGGCTAAGAAAAAGATTATCGTCAAGCCGTTCATATCTGGAGTTCGTGAGCACGATTTCCGGATATAACGGACGTCCATTGGCTCTCAATCAACGTTGTGTAAGGTACGACGACGTTATCAAACAATGACGTATTGAGCAGCATATTCACTAAATAGAGAAATCGCGTTGTTTAGAGCAGCCTCCTCCATTTGAAAGTATACCAGCAGTTATAAGTGAGCATAGGTCAATACATCTGATGCTTGCTTCAATATCTTCAATTGTGGAACATCCCCTGTAAAGAAAGTGTCCCACCTTTGGGACATACTTCAAAACCATACTCTGGGATCAGTGACGTCTAATAGTAGCACTGGGTAGTGGCACTGCAGTGGCGTCAAGACATAAAAGAATTTCAATTTTGATTATTTTCGATTCCAAATTACGCTGTAAGCGCTTTGTAACGGCACGTTTCTTCCCTGCAGTGGCGACCACCATCGCCATGCCAACCACCGTGCGCACTGACAACTACTCGTGCGAATAAAAGAGGGTGTGTGATTGGCCCAGCGGGCAAGGGCCTGTTACCGAGAAGAGCATTGGTCGAAGTATGGACCAGTGTTTCGCATGGATTATGCGATACTTCCACGACCAAAGCCAGAGTGCGCCTCGAAAAGAGTGACTGTGGTAAACGCCATAAGGGAGGAATCAAAGTCATAGTATAGCATTGCGTCGAATTCGCGGGATAATACTTTCATGTTAATATACACTTTTGTCTAAACAGTGTTTCAAGCTTTCTTAGCATTTATTATACAAACGTTTTGGTGCATTGGTGTGTTCCAAACATTACAGAACACACGTTGAAAAAGGAAGGCAAATGAAATGTGTTACTTTCATAATGATGAGCAGGAAGCCAAATGGGACTTCCCCCACAGGGTCAGCTACTTCAAATAGAAATTCTGAGCTACTCAAAAGGATTTTAGAAACCAGTAGTACTGGTCATATCGCATGCGCTTCATGCAACATTAAGTAAATGGTACAAAATAGGTTTGATAATTCCTTTAATTGAAGTGGCACAAGGCCGGCTACATTTATTAGGGTTTTCTGAAACATGTTGAATGTTTTACACTGAAAAGCTGTATAAAAACGACTGCCCTAATTTTCTATGAATGATTGGTGTCCAAATATGTATTTATACTGAGAGCTTAGCGGAAGTCACAAATTTTAAATTGATTTGACGGAATGAGAAAACATTCCTAGTCAGATTACTACAAAAACAAAAAGTCTTCTTAAGCGATGAAAGAAAAAATAGCGCTTTGCATTCCCATCCAGCAGTCGACTACATGAGACACGCCATAACAAAAGTAGACGCTGTTCGCAATGCACAAGATTGTCGCCTGCAATATTCAGACAGAAGGATCATAAAACACGTTCTGGTTTGAATACCTTGTGGAAAAGGCAACAGAACCGCAACAGTGTTCACGCAGCGGCCCGCTCTTCCGCGGTAGCTCACGCAGCACCGCCTCTGTCTGCAGACCGCCTAACAGCGGGTGCGGGTCCGAGACCGTTGTCAAAAACCGATCCTAAGGCAGGCCGTTTCCGCGAGCACCACCCCTGACGACAGTCAATACCACCATCCATCCGCTGTCGGTCGTCGTTTCAACCGCAACAGGGTCCTTCGTGCGCCAGTCGATCAGGGATATTTCATGTTTATTTGATCGCCGCAGTCCGCCCAAAGTCGATCAGAAATATTTCGGCGAACAAGGCGTGCGCGCCGTTGACCTCGAACGCCATTTCAAGGTCAGTACCGCGGGCCTGCGGGCAAAAAAGTCCGGGACTAGGTCGATACAGGTCGGTTACACCGGTCGCGCTCACCTGGCCGTTATTGATCGGCCTTTTGAGGTCATCGTGTAGTCAAGGCCATTGTGAACGCCGACCAATGCAGCCGAAATGGGCCATTGCGTCACCATGCTGACCTTTTGATCTGGGTCACTGGAACGAAAGAGGCATGATGTTGCGAACTGGTAAGTGGAACAACAATCTTACATAACACCTTCAAGTTCAGTACCGTTCTCATCCAAAATGTAAACCAAGCGAGGTTATTGACCAGCGTATGCGAACCGTCATATTCAAATAAAGTGATTTCCATGGCATTTTGTAACTACACCAAAATCAGATATAGACCAACGCCAGCGTCACAAAACTGTTAGTGAAATGAGTGCGCTCATCTGAGATTTTACTTCATCACTTGGTTTTGTTTTGCATGTTGTACAAACAGACATCTATGCTAGCATGTTGCAAATGGCCACGTCAGCTGATATACTAACCAAAAAGCGCAGATACGTGCAATTCTTTACGACACAAGTGCGCTTCTTTATTTCCCTGCTAAAAAAACTTTGAACGATATGTTCACATTGGGACGTTGATAAATAATTCATTACCTAATGCATCGCTGGATGTAACCGGATATGTAATCTGCGCCCCTCGCAGCAATTAGCCATTATTCATAAACATCGGCACCACTGCCCGCGGGCCATCGGCAGCTAATGACGCGAACCACGATACTCCGCCATCCGGCCCACTAGTCCTGCTCCTCCTGGGTCGATCCTGGGTCAGGCCCGGCACGCCAACCGCCGGCCCGTTCCGTGCCGATCGGTCCGGCTTCGGGGGGGGGGGGGGGGCATCCCTTGCGTGCTTTCCTCCGGCCCTGGTCCCGGCCCCCTGACTTCGCGTCGCCTGGTACGCCAGACTTGTCATCTGGGCGCTGGTCCCACACGATGGCCGTAACAGCTAGTCCCATACGCTGGGTGCTAGTCTCATACGATAGGACAGGCAGCTAGTCCCATACGCTGGGCGCTAGTTTCACACGATGACATTAACAGCTCGTCCCATGCACTGGCTGCTTGTCTCACACGATGGGGACTAACACATAGTCTCACGCGCTGCCTGCTAGTCTCATACGATGGGACTAGCAGCTAGTCCCATGCACTGCCTTCTAGTCTCACACGATGGGACTAACAGCTAGTCCCATGCGCTGGCTGCTAGTCTCACGCGCCGGGACTAACAGCTAGACCCATGCGCTGGCTGCCAGCCTCACACGATGTGGAGACCGGGTGGTGGGATGAGCCGCATGATCTTCGACTAAGAAAGACATATGCAGGCCGTAGGTTTACGGGGTCTTACTGCACACTTTGCCAGCATATCTCCCCAGCACAGTGCAACCCAACCAGGAGCTATAACTAACATGTACGACACTTTTAGTGAGCAACACGACGGTAATTCACTGAGTCAATGGATGCAAGGCCTGTTACAGCCTAGATAAACAAACCCTATGTATGAGCATTCTAGGAAGGTTGACTCGCGCTCGAGAAAGCCATAGAGGCCTCTAAGGGGTACATGAAGGTTTCAGTGTCAGAGCGCCAGAATGGAAACAGTTTATTTGTCGTGACTGCTAGCTCACCCTGGTGCAAGCGATTGGGTCTTAGGACTACTTTCCAATATACTTGTCGGTTTCACGTCTGTTGAACCTCATCTTGTTATGATGATGATGATGATGATTTGGGGTTTTAGGGCGCATCGACTGCTGTAGGTCATTCAGCGCCATAACCTCATCTTGTTAAAGACATTATAGTCCATGTCTCATTATGTGTCTATTTATGTGTCATGTCTTGTTAAAACCACCCAACATATTTTGAAGAGGAAAAGGCAGTGCCGTCGTGCCCCATTCAGTTCGTTTGAACGAACGGTAGGGCCACCACTGCTGCGACCTCAACGCCAGTCAGCCCGCGTGCGTCTGGTGAGCCCATCATCACCGACCTGGAGATCCCGACCGTGACCTGTGACCCGTGACTCATGACTTATGACCAACGACCCGTGAACCATGACCCGTGACCTGCGACCCGTGAACCATGACCGGTTACCTGTGACCCGTGACCTGCAACCCGTGACCTACGGCACATGATCGATGACTCGTGACCCGTGAACCGTGACCCATGACCCATGACCCGTGACCCATGACCGATAACCCGTGACCCTTGACCCGTGGTCTGTAACCCGTGACCCGTAACCTGTAATATGTGACCCGTGAACCGTGACCCATGTTGCGTAACCCGTGACCCGTGGTCGTGCCCGTATGACCCGCGGCTCCTACCGCAGACGATCCTGTTCACGACCGACGACGAGATTCTGGACAACATCTCGCAGTATGACGAGTCGTTCAGCGGCTACTGCGCCGATCCGACGGCCACCATCCACGCCGAGCTGCCAGTGGAACGGCCGCAGACGGCGGACGTAGACGTCAGTCCCTGAGCCGCCGCACCCGGCACCCGGCACCCGGCACCCGGCACTGGTACTGCACCCGCCCGCGCACCCGCCGCAGGGGCCGGGTCCGTCGGACCGGGACGTGGCGAAGGAAGCTCCCAAGATGGGGGAGGTGGCTGGTCGTTTGGAAAGGAAAAGCAGCAGCTTCTGATTTGCTTGGCTCGGCGTGCTAAATGTCAGGGAGAATAAAACACCTTTTAATGCTCAGCTACTACTCTGGGTTGCGGTTTGCAAGTGCACTTGTACCACTGAGTTGTGCACTTATTACAGTTGGGTTCTACGGTTTGCTGGGAAACTTATGTTCCATGCTTTTTTGCTATTCGCAGGCCCGATGCATTTATCTGCGCATTAGATAATACGGTTGACTGTATCCATGCATCGCCACCATGCATGGCGCCAATTGCCTCGTTTTTACGCGCAAGGAAATGCAATGTTTATGACTGAATCCAATCCACCGCACAGTGCATTACAGCCTCTCAGAGACGCCGGGTACTAATTTTACGCCACATATTAGCCTGTATTCTTGGCGGTTATTCTGTTCGTTCCCCCAACTACTTCCGTCGTTTTATTGCCAAAGGTTTCGGAAATTGCCATGCGACTTCTACTGCCGGAGAAATGCATGCATCTCCCACAAAATTGTATTCGCTGCTACAGGCCATAAGGCCACAGCACAGTGCTCCGTGACAGACCATTTCATCACGTCCGTGACTCTTCATCAGTCTCTTGCGCATCGCCCCTGGCCCCCCTATCCCCCTCCCCTGGTGAGCCCCTGACGCGACCCGAGCGGGCGCCCGCGGCAGGAGACGGGCGGACGGCCGTTCACCTGCGGCCACGCGCTGGGCGGCGAGGCGTCGGGCCGCGTTCCCCAGCTCTCGTCCGGCGAGATCGTCAGCTTCGACTCGTCCGGCGCCGTACCCCGCGGCCAGATCGTCCAGCTGACCTTCACCTCGTCTTGGGGGGACCGGCAGCAGCTCGGTCAGTGGCGGCGGCAGCCGGAGGTGCCCGTCGGATTCCAAACGGGAGTCGCCGCGGCTGGTGTCGTGCGTGGGTTGAGCGGTTAGCGGCTTATTGACCACCGCGTCGCCGTTTTGAAAACACCAGGCTTCGATGTGACGCTTCCATGATCGACCTGGGATAAGTTTGACGCTCAATTACTATATATATATATATATATATATATATATATATATATATATATATATATATATATATGTGTGTGTGTGTGTGTGTGTGTGTGAGTGTGTGTGTGTGTGTATGTATGTGATATTTGACACGCTTGTCGCAGTCTCTTTGACAACTTTGTGTATCAAAAATAAGGAAATAAAAACCAGGTATCGATCTCCGCATGGTACTGCAATTGACCCGGCAATGCAAACACATGTCCTGATTCTAGTAACAGCGATAGGTTTGACCATGTCACAACAGAAAAGACGAAAAGACTGTCACAGAACACACAGCAGGGCTGCATTTCTCTGGCGAAACGTCGTTTATGAAGTCTGGCTTTCCGTGGCACCAGGTCTGACGGCACTGGAAATAGTGCGGGAAAACCAGCAGGTGGTGCCTCTGAAGACCTCCTACCTGACGGCATCGACAGCCACAGCGACACTGCCGAGGTAATATGGAAAGCAATGCAGTGGCGTGAATGCTTAACACATCCGGGTTTGAATACGTTAGATATGTTAAGAAATCGGTGGAATGAAATGTGAAAGAGCAGAGAAAGGCAAATCCACACGTCAGGTTCCCAGTTTAAGTCAAATTGCCTCAGCGCTCTTTGCTTTGTATCGTTACTAATATGCTTGTTTTTTTTTCATATGTGCTATGCCTATTGAATTTGCACCGATAGTGAAGGCCCATTGGTAATGGTGTGACCCAGGGATGTGTACGATTTCGCAATGGATGGGGCAGAACCCAAACTTGTTTCTTTTTGCCGAAATCCAGCTGGGCGCGCCGCAGTCGCGCGAAATGTACTGCATGACGTGCAACATGCGTCTTCTCCATCTACATTTCTTACGTATTTACCCTGATTTTCTAACATCATTTATTCGCGGAAGTATTAGTACCGTCACCAATTTGCTAGTGGTGACACATGCTTCCGGGATCACCATGCGAGCAAGCCCCTGCGTCGAACCGCGTGCATGCTTGCACAAGACGGCCGCCTTTTCAAAATGACGTGTATCTTTGTCTTATCTCCACCGTCCGTCGTCGTCTCCTCGTGCTCACGCGAGTGGTGACCCCGCGCAGACTGCTGGACGAGCAGCGCGTCAGCTGTGACCCGGAGCACATGTGGCTGGTGCCCTGGAAGGAGGGTCAGTCGGTGACGCTGATCCTCCGCCTGCCGGCCACCACCGCCATCGCTGCGCTGCGGGTGTGGAACTACAACGCCTCGCAGGACGACGCCTACAAGGGGGTGAGGAGCAGCTCCCTGGAACCGTGCTCGTACTGGAGGAGCTTGACATGATCCGACGGAAACCACGGGGCATCCTTTACATACAGGAGCATATACGCATGTGTGTGTATGTGTATATGTATATGTATATGTTTATAGATGTTTATATATGCATATACACATATATACATGTATGTCTATATGTGCATGTGCGTGTGTGCGTGCGTGTGTGCGTGCGCGTGTACGTGGGCGTGTGCGTGGGTGTGGGCGTGGGCGTGGGCGTGGGCATGAACGTGGGCATAACCCAACATGGGGAAAGCCCCCATCATGTGTGGTACAAAGGTCAAGAATCCTCTTACGTCATATGGTAGGACAACAACAGAAGGAGTATACCGAATCACTTGCTTTTTCTGTAACCACTTTTCAACCAGACCCAACCCCCACACAAATGACGAGCTGTTCGGTGCATCTAACGTATGTTTTGACCAGCAAATGGCAGCAGCCTTCGCTCGCGTTTTGCTCGGCCGTGGTTGGACCGGACAGTATCGACTATCCTGTGCCATGCGCTGCGGCACAGCATGCACCAAACGGCAGGCGGCAGCAGGCGGTGATAACTCTGTAGAGCCCCGATACGCAATGCCCAGCTGTCCACTGTGGACAGAGCACACTCCTATCCCCGACACCTCCCCAGGCGCGCAACTGCATCGTCTCGGTGGACAACAAGCGGGTTTCGCCGGCCGAGGGGTTCGTGCTGCGCCGGGCGCCCGGCACCACCCACTACGACTTCTGCCAGGAGGGTCAGCCTGCGAAGGGGCGGTCCGGTCGCCGCCGCCCGCCGCCATGAAAAGTCCGGCAACGGACGCACGCACGTGCGCATCAGCGACAGCGTGTACCAGGTGTGGCCGGGTGCGGGCTGGAGGACTTCACGGGCTGGGCGAGCGCATTGGTACACATGTGACTGGAAACGGACTGGGCTGCGGATAAATTTTGGATTTTTTTTTGGGGGGGCGGAATTACGGCTACGGTACGGGTGCGTCTAAAATGTTGACAAAATATCCGGTAGTTACCTTAACACTCGCCCTGTTTCGCCGTTTTTTCATGGCGCGGACTGATAGGGAGTTGATTCCCCCTGCCGTTTCTAAACCAGGAAATACAGGACTTACCAAAAACGTTGTTTTTGTCTCAACGAAACCTGGCCATCGATGTAAATTTTATGCTGCTGGGTAAAAAATTTGACTCCCTTATGCCAGGCCAAGGGTCGAAGGCAAGCTGACGAAATACCAACGCATCTGTCTCTCCATTCGCCTGGTTTTTCTACGAGAACAAGGCTATAACTACTGTCTTATCTATACGCATAATGTTCCCGGGAAATGCACCTAACAACTTCCGAAAATCGCACTTTTTAGCTTTACAACCTTATACATACGTTACCGTGACTTGTAGCGATACCACACCTGGACGGGCGTGTTCCTTGCTCAATTCTGAGTACAATGGTGAATAGCGTTATGGGTTTATTGATGATGTATTGCCCCGTTAATACAACAATGTCGGCCTGCCGCGCTTGTTCTTAGCATCGTCGATGGCCGCCCGCCGGCCGCGCCGGCCGTAGATCGCCGCGCGGTGTTCCTCAAAGACCGCCGCTGTTACAATCCTTTCATTGCAAAGGACGTGTTGTATGGCGAATGACCCGTCCGCTCCACTCACGCCCCTGACCGAGCCCGCCCGAGTAACCGTCGTCTCCGTCTGGTTTCAGGACGAGTACGAGGTGCCGACCTGCGCATGCGCTCTGACCGAGTCAGCCCGAGTAACCGCCGCCTCCGCCTGGTTTCAGGACGAGCACGAGGCGCCGATCTGCGCATGCGCTCTGACCGAGTCGGCCGAGTGACCGTCGCCTCCGTCTGGTTTCAGGACGAGTACGAGGCGCCGATGATGCCGCAGGGGTTCGTGTTCCAGTTCCACCTGCTGTCCACCTGGGGAGACCTCTACTACACCGGCCTGAACGGCATCGAGCTCTACGACGCCTCCGGGCACAAGATCCCGCTCACTGGCAGGAGTGGGTGCCGCGCCGGACCTGAGACCTGACCTGACCTGGATTGACCTGAGGCCTGAAACCGAGCGCTCGGCTCCGGCTTTGTGTCCTGAAGTGGCTGATGTCTGGCGCTGGATCATGTTAAGGTCAAGCCAACAGGCGGCCGGTGCTTTCCGAGATGTCATCAACAAGGTTATCCAGATGTAAACAACGGCGTTTGCCTTGAGATAGTATTCGACAAATTTGTTTGATTCGTTGCCTAAAAAACGAAATTCACTAGAGCAGTCACATACATGTTCAAAATGTTAGCAACTTTTTCGAGACCATTCTCGTGATAAATGAAAAGAGCTGGAATATGCAAAGTTAAAAGTGGGGTTGGGTTTCCAAAGACGATGCAACACCTGAAGGTTTGCGTTACGGTACCTGCGTTGAAATTTGATGCTCTGATTGGTATTCATTGTTCATTGTACAATACACTCCTAGCCAATAGCAATGAGGGGGTTCATTGTGATGTAGTTGAAAGCAAATGAGATACGCATAGGTTTCAATGAACTTGATTTCACCGCCGTCAGTCCTCTAGCTACACAACGCACATTCGCAATCATAATCCAGTGACAAATTGCTCAGGCATCGAATCAACTTCCCGCCCCTTCCCCTACCGTGACCACGTGACCCCGGGTCCGCCTCACGCTTGACCTGGCCGGCAGACGTGGCGGCGTACCCAGACAGCGTGAACGTGCTGGACAATGTCTCCGGGGACGTGCGCACGCCTGATAAGCTGGTGGACGGCGTCAACAACACCATGGACGGCCGCCACATGTGGCTGGCGCCCATTCTGCCCGACATGGTGAGATCCTGTGACCGAGTCTCCATTACCGGACATGGGGAGATCAGTGACCGCGTCCATCTTGGCCGACATGGTGAGGTCATGAGGCCGAGTCCATCTTCGCCGGCATGGTGAGATCATGTGGCCGAGTTCATCTTGCCTGACGTAATGTAAGGGCGGTATGTGGCTGTGCCTACCATGTTGTGTATGGTGAGAGCGTGGATCGCGTGGTTGAGTCCATTCTGCCCAACGTGGTGAAGGGACGGTCATGTTGCTGAGTCAATTCTGCGTGACGCGGTGAGAAGTCTGCGATGCGGCTGGGTATGTCCCGCCTAACGTGGTGAGAGGACGGACACGTGGCCAAGTCCATCATGTTGGACATGGTGAGCGGATGGTGTATGTGGTTGAGTCTATAATAGCTGATATTGTGAATGAGTGACGTCTGTATTTGAAATTATTTTGCCTGCTATGATTTCGGAATAATGTTTGTGATACGCCGTGGTGACGATCCGGAGAGAACACAGAACCACATAGTCTAAAGCGTATGGTACAAACCGCTGCCGCAAATATTTGCTGGCTGTTGAATGAGAGTAGAAAATATTGCTGTAAGGTTTAGACATTCTTTTACCACGTGCAGCCGTCAAGAAGTGTGTAAACCAGTTGCAGATATTCGGCAAAAGTTTTTATCGACAATGCATGAATGTCTGCTTTGCTTTTAGATCAATCGAGTCTATGTGATATTCGACGAGATCCAGACGGTTTCGATGATTAAGATTTGGAACTACGCCAAGACTCCCACCAGAGGTGTCAAGGAGTTTGGGGTAAGTCTGCTAAGAATGTCGCTGACCTGGACTTATGCTTTCACCATGCGCCGCATGGAAGCCTAAGTCGAATTTTTGGCGATGAAGAACACTTCATATTTGAACATTCCCTTCATCTTTAATGATATCCTCGAGTGGTTGTTCAGACACCGCAAATGCTACTACGCTTGGACTGTAAAAGGCAGCATAATGGCCTGCAAACGGGTTCGTGACATGTAAGCCGCCTTAACGCTCTCATCGTTATCGTTTAGCGAATCTTTATTTGCCGGCATGCGTCTTCCAGGTGTCTTAAGCCTTATGCAATGCTACAAATAGCATCCTCGCAAACCGCCGAGCCCACTGAGCCACTGAAACACCGCACCTGAGCCCCCGCCTTCCATCATCACCCATAATCATAGGTGATCATTCATCATCATCTATCATCATTGGCCACTATTCATCGTCATCCATCATCATTGATCACTATTCATTGTCATCCATCGTCATAAATCATCATTCATCATCAGCTATCATCATTGACCACGTTTCATCATCGTCTTTCCTCATTATTCATCCCCATTTATCATCATTCATCATCCACCGATGGCACTAGCTGGGTGGCACTTCGGCCACCTTTAACCTGCTACCATTGTCCGCACCGCAGCTGCTGGTGGATGACCTGCTGGTGTACAACGGCGTGCTGGGGCAGATCGCGAGCACGGGCCGCCTCGTGGGTCAGGCCGTGCCCTACCACACCGTGCTCTTCACTTCGGACCGCGAGCTGGTCCAGAAAGAGCGTAACACTGTCATCAGGTGAGCACTGGCGGTGGTCCTGCTCTGCGCAGGACCGTCATCAGATGAGGATGGATGGAAGTCCGTCCTACTCCACCGAGTAGCCTTGCGCAGGACGCAAGACCTCTCGTTGGAGTACGACCATCAGGTAAGCGGGCGTGTTGTGCGTCTTTAGCGCAACGCGGTCAGCGGGTGAACGTTCAGTGTGGTACGTCCCGCCGCGAGATCATCGCCAGGTGGGGCCTTGTAACACTATCTTTACACGACACCGCCCTCAAGTGATCAGGTGTGTTACTCGTGCCTGGAGCAATATCTTCATCAGGTGAGGAGGCGTAGGAGGCGTGTTAGTTTACTCTGAAGCAACACTGTCGCCAGATACAGTCGTGCCACCTCTTCGGTGTAGCACCGCCACCAGGGGAGTCTGATCACCAATGAGTAAAACACGACCACTACTGAGTCAGGAGAACTTGATCCACTACTACCTGCTAGACTCCATTTCTCACCCCCGCGAAGCTTTAAAACAGGCTTGGAGTGCAGCTGCCACCCGTATTTTCCAGGCCGATGAGTTCCGGGGAGAGTGAGGTGCGGCTTCTGAACAACAACCCGAACTCGCCATCGGCCATGACGCCGTCGGCCGGGGCCGGCTCTAGTGTCGACCAGATGCGGCGGCCCTTCACCCAGCAGACGCCGGCCGCCGCGCTTGGACTGCGGCGGAAAACGCTGCAAACATAACTTGCGGGGGTCGCCGATAGGTGGAGGACCTGTCCTTGTGTTATTCGGGTGCGAGGATGTGTTTCCGCTGCATCTGTGAGCTGCGGACGAGCAGCAAGGGTGGCGCGTGTGTAGAAGTGTGGAGAATTCGTCACTGTTCTTTGCTCGGACAAATCCGGAGTTTGGTCGATGTTCGGAGTGCTCGGCCAGACCGCTGCCGGATTACACGGGCAAATATAGAAGTGTGCGAAAACGGCCGAGTGTGTGATGTGGGCTTGCCTAAATAAGCAAATCTTTCCACGGTGATCCCATTTACCCGCAATGTAACAATGGGAAAATCACGTCGTAGGGGCTCCCTCTAAGACCGGCCGCCTTTGAATGCACTTATAAATGCTGTGGGCGACTCGCAATGCTTCAGCCAACGGGTGACAGCTCGTGAACAGAAAACAAATGGTAAACACGTTTGGATACGGGCAAAATCCGTATGTTGCACTGCGCTCTGGCTTCATATTCCTTCGTTAGCTACTACATGGAATCATTTAGTTAGATCCTAAAGCGCGATGCACAACTGGCAAGAGAAACACAGACAATCATTACTTCTAGGGTGAAAGTCCTAAAAAAGTAGTTGCCATTTCCACTGGGGCATTCGGGACGGCTAAAATTCCGGCCTGCTTTTGTCAAATCAATGGAGTAGGCACTGCCGTAGTATGCTCATCCCAAAAGGTCATCACAAGCATGGGCAGGCATAGCGGAATGAGGCAACAATTTCCAGACTAGAATGAACACCTAACGACGGGGCCGAGCGCCGTCTGACAATCATGTGAAGCATGGCGGCGCTGTCCATGCAGCACCATGTGAGCTCTGGTGACCTGGTGTGGTTGTGGTGCCGCCCGGCGGCTGCCGGCATCCAACCTGTGAACATCACGGGACCCCGTGAATCTCCCTCTCCTTGTGCCGAACCATTGGATGCTCCCCGTCTCGCGTGGTTCCCTCGCACGACCGTTCCCGAGTTGGGACGGCTTGGGCCTACATCCGTGTGCCACTGTATGTCGACCGTTGCGTTGGGTTGTGCTGTCTGCCCTTCACACGGGACCTCCCAGATGTCGTGTCGCGGTGCTGGCATGTCCCCTTGAGTGCAAAAGCACGGTATTCCTCGGGCGGCCATGTTCGAAGAGACTGACTGTGATACCGTGCTTGCGGAAGTGGTGTTCGCACCACCACGAGTTGGTTCGCCGTCGATCATTGCGTGCGTCGGGGTTCAAACGCGACGGTCCAGACGCGTGCACACGGATGGCGTTGCAGCACCTGTGTTCATACCGTGGCGTATTCCATGCGTTATTTGTATAGCAGATTCCAAAGTGCGGCACTGATTGCTAATAATTGGTGCAATTACAGGTAGCGTTGGTTTGCTTGACGTCTGCAAAAAGCGTATCTTTCAATTTTGTCCACCAATTTCATTTTAGTTGATCAGCTGGAAAAGTTGCGGCAATGGTGTTAACAAACTGTTAACGAACGGGATGAAGAGTATAACAAACTGTCGCACGGCGTATGGTGCTCGCATACGGTTGTCCAATCAATGGAATGTCCATGCTTCTGCTGGTAACAGAGGAAAGCGTGGCATCCGGGCCTCTGACCGCAGGCAAGTTCGAACCGGCGGTTCATGAGTCGCATGGAACCAGTTTGACCTGACAGTTTGAAAATGTTCCGGATTGTTGGTGGGCGCACACAGGGGCGGAGTGCGAACAGCTGTGCCCACAATAGTGGCGCCACGTGTGTAAGGTTATGTGCGGCTAATGTCCTTGCCAATACATGAATTCGGGGAGCTCTACATGGAATTAACAACGCGTAACGCCCACACATCATGGATAGGAGGACCCCGCAAACTAACGCACCGTTCCGAAGCTCAGCGTTTTCGCTGCAGTCCGCAGACAGAATTATAGCCAGGACCGTGATCTCTATATATTTCGTACGCGGCCATCGCTTGCGTTTTGGAACGACGTTGCCCTTCTGTTTGCCTCATTCGTGTGTTCCTGCCACTGTATCGACGTCATTTGGCATTTCGCTGATACTTCGATAAACCTCGCTGCCTATGAAGTTTAATGAGTTGACGGGGCTGGTTAATCATGTATTTTCTTTGCATAAAACATACGGTTTGCCGCCAGCCAGTACCCAGGGATTACCGGTCGTTCTGAACGTCAAACACATCCGTGGCATGACCTTAACCAATGAGCAACATGCGCAAGACGCGTTCGCCGGACGCAGGCCAATGCGCCCTTCTTTCCGATTTTCTGCAAAGGCTTCCGCCCGCTGGATATGATTGCGAAGCTAAATTTACTCACTCGCTTTGGTAGAACACCATCTACAACAGAGGAGCCCAAATCCCCCACGTGAAAAATATTTGATTAGGACTACAGGCTCCCGGGTTGTACATCTGCTGACATGCATGAGTGGAGAATGCAGCTTGGCAGGGGGCAACAAAATGCCTTCAAAAGGCTCACTTCGGGCACGATCAAGAGGAAGCGTTCGCTTCAGTCGATTTAGGGCACAAACATTTGACAGCATTCTCCCCATGTCAATACGCCAGACGCGATGCATGACCCCCAAACCATTTCTTTTGTTGACTGTCACTACAGGACAAGGGTCGCACTTTGCTGTCACAGACGGCATCATCATAGTCTGCAAGGGCAGGGGTGGCTGCTCGCCACACCACATCCCCTCGCAGAACACCGCTCCACAAGGCTAACGGCACTTGAGCGGGAGCATATCCAGCGGAGGCGGGCCCACAACGGCAGTGGCGGACAGCCCCGTCACCTGCCGACGAGCCGCCTCCGCCCAACCTCCAACAGAGGGCCCACACAGGTCATCACCATCCGAATCACTCGGGCAAACTGGCCGCCGCAGTCGCCACCGGCGGGCTAATGGTCTCCGGACGGGCCCGGGCGAGACTGACCAGGGGGGGGGGGGGGGACACTTGCCGCAGTCGCCACCGGCGGGCCATGGTCTCCGGACGGGTCCGGGGGCGGGACTGACCAGGGCGGGCGGGGACACTTGCCGTCGTCGCCGCCGGCGGGCTAATGGTCTCCGGACGGTCCGGGGCGGGACTGACCAGGGCGGGCGGGGATACTTGCCGTCGTCGCCGCCGGCGGGCTAATGGTCTCCGGACGGGTCCGGGCAGGACTGACCAGGGCGGGCGGGGACACTTGCCGTCGTCGCCACCGGCGGGCTAATGGTCTCCGGACGGGTCCGGGCGGGACTGACCAGGGCGGGCGGGGACACTTGCCGTTGTCGCCCCGGAGTATCCTGGTGAGAGATCACTGCTACGCCGCGGCACGGGAAGGCGCCGAAGCGGACGCAGGCAGAACACGCAGAGCACAGGCAGAACACGTTGAGCACCCCGCCCTTTCCCGCCACATTTGCGGCTCAAAAACGCGACGCCGACGCAGCAACAGTTTACGCGCGCCGGCTATGTAAGAACACAGCACTTATTCGACGATCAAAATTCGGCGGAAAAACGACAACAAACCGCGCAACACGTCGTCAGCCATGCGCCCCGAGCAAGGCCATGTGTCAGCATCAAGCTCAGGAGAAGAGATCTCCTTAGACGTGACGCCCGACGTCATACTACACAGCAGCATTACACATGGCATCGAGCAGAGCATTCCAAGGGCCGCCAGTGCGCCGCTACGAACGTCGCCGCGAAACTCGCCACCGCGTCGAACGTGCCCTCGACGCGTTTGGTGCCTTCACGTGGTGCCATTCGCGGCCCGAGAGCACCAAGCGCTCGCTGCGCAGGGCACCAAGCAACACCAGCGACGCCACACACTCGCAGCCCCACACGCACCCTCACAGCACCACAGCGCGGTCCCCGGCCGGTCACGGCGGCGGGCGGAGCCGTCAGCAGCACTCGCCACTGTCCGCATCGAACGTCAGCCGTCGCCGGCCGGACTCGTCCCACTCCTCGTCCATCCAGTGGACGGGCACGTGCTCGCCGCGCGTCAGGTCGGCCTCGTGGCGCGTGAGGAAGTCGCCGCCGTCC